ATGCAAAACTATCATGACTTAGGGGAGGTAGTTCTCCATTAATCTCTTAGTGCTAGTCATAGCTATCAGAAGAAGCTCGAGGCTCGCGTTGCTATATATATGGTCAATCCATGGATCTGTGAATCAAATTGAATTTATCCCAAAACAAGTTGTTTTGGATTAAAAAAACTAAAAAAATATAGTCTTGCTTGCTTGATTATTAATAATGTGGTTGCTAAATTGATACGTAAATGTATTGTAATGCATGCAAAGTGTATACGTACAGTACACTGTTCTTCTAATGCGCGCATGTACTTTTGCTTGCTTGATTAACCTTTTTTTTTTTTTTTGAGTGTTTATATATTAAAAAATTTAATTGCGTCTAATTTCAAAAATTAATAAATGTCCACTTTGGAATCTAAAATTGGCCTTGTTTTATCGAGTTAAATAAAAATATAAATAAAAATGATAAAAATATAATAAAATAAAAGAAATAACATAAAATGCAGAAATAAAAAATAAATTTGTAGGGACCATGACTATGTAAGGAAATTACAAAGAAATCAAGAAAATAAATGAAAAAAGCGTAGGTTTTTTTATTTTTTATCTTTATGTGGCCGTGGGTAAAGATTTTATTGAGAAATTGATAAACATATAAGAAATTCTGCATTTTATATAAAGTATTTGTATTTAAAAAAAAATATTAAAGTTTTTTACTTGAGATTTGTTTGGTTTATGAAAAAAAATAGAAAAAATTAAGTCAAGTTAATTGTTTGTATTGGAGAAATCAACCTTCTTTATTGCCGGGGGGGAAGGAACAACAATTCATCTTTTATTTTTTTAAGAGAAATTCCCAAACTCGAAAGTAGCAAATTAATCCAAGATTAATTAGTTCTTTAATAGACAAAATTTTATCTGGAGAATGACTCAATTTATTTTTTTTATTTTATAAAAATAATATTATTTTACAAAAAATCAACATATTTTAACAAAGTTTTTCTTGTGCTGTCATCGCCCCGAGTCAAACTAAAATTTTGACCACCAGATCATGCCACGTGAATTCTCCCCCGTGTTTTTGTTGAAACCTGGTTCGGTTTGGATCTTAAGTCAACCCGATAGATAATGTTCTAAAAGTGGTAAAAACAACTTAGATCATCATGTTTATATATCTTCCTGACAAAATCGGGAAGTGAAAGTAAAATAGATATTACATGGAGAAAGTAAAGTCTACATGTCAAGAACAGTTTTTAAGTACAATGCATATATACAACACATTAAATAGATAATATTAGCATCAACATTCAGTGCATTCAGCCATTCGCAACATAGGAAGCAAGAGTTGCATTGCGGGTATTCCTAGTTTGTTGCCATTTTAACAAGCCATGGAGTTAGACATGTGGCTCCATCCGATTGAGATGGTAGTTTCCCTCACTGTTCTTGTGCACCACTACCTTGAGCTTCTCTTCAGCGCTTCCTCTCTTCACCTTGAGAAGCATATCAAATTTCGCAGAATCATCCTCTACCTGTTGATTGACAGGTATAATATTCATCATTTCATGTTTATGCTCTTTGTTTGTGTTTGAATATGATACTTCGAGAGATGGAAAACCCATGGCCATGGCTCTATTATGTATCTCTGCTCTTAAGAAAACAAAAGTGGATAGATCATTTACCAAGGACGCAGGGAATGAAATACCACCAGACTACTATCATGCTCTGATCTACAAACTAATGGCTGTGTGTACCAGGCACATTTAATCGAGATTAAACATAAATAGGATCAACACAGCAATTCTAACCCCGCCCATATTAGCCAGAGATTGACAGGTTGTTATTGAATCAAGTACAATCTCTCATTGTCATAAAGTTATTCTGCAAATGTATCAAGGCTCTCTTTCTACATGTAAATATAGACGAAAGCATGGGCCGCATTGAACAGATACCACAGTTAGAAAAGCCATATCCCAGTTCAAACCAACAGATAGCAACAGGCAAAATAAAATTGATAAAGGAACAAAAAGAACTGACCTCAGCATTTGCATCAACGACTTCTTGAAGTTCATAAGGGAATAATGAGTTGGACCTCTGCTGGATGGACTTCAGAGCATGATTTGCTGCATCTTGGACTGAAGGATCATGCACTGGCACTGATTGCCATCCTGGACCATGGCCATCTGTTTACAAATCCCATAATCAGCACAATACTACCACTCAAAATGCAGAAGAACTCTAAAGCTTAGTGTTCCAATCCAATGTAATATCGAAAAAACATGACTAGTAAAACATTGAAAACCCATTTGCCTAAATTCTAAAAAGAAATTGCCTCACAACATGCCATGTCCGTATACTATAAACACAGCAACACTCGCTGGAAATAACACTCCACAAATTACATACAACAAATAGATTTTCACGCACATTCATCCATGATTTCGAAATTCCTATAACAACAAGTAACAAGCACCAATCACTCTACATATGAAGCCCAGTAATGAAACACAGAGCACTCACTCTACTATCCTTCCAGTGAATTCAAAAGCAAACATCATGATGCATTAAAAATATGCTCAAATTAGATGAAAACGAAAAAAAGCAACTTTCCTTGACAAACACAAACTCCAAGCATCCAACATAAACTTCATTAAAATCGGCAAACAACATAGCTTTTTAAACAGTTGGTCACATTCATAATAGCTTGAACCAAATGGTGATCATTAATCAACCTCTCTTAATACCAAGATAGGAAGAAGTAAACACAGGAACATCCCCAGCATGCTTAAACTCCTTCAATTCCATAAAATTAAGCCATGGCTTAACCCAGACTTCAGCTTCATAAATCTTCTTCTTCCCCGCTTCAATCGCTTCAATTGTAAGATGATGCATCGTCCCTGCCACCACTTGCTCTTTCGCCTTCACTACCCTCGCAAACTCCAATATCACATTCTATAATTAAAATCAAATCCATTAATTTCAAATCCGAGATTATCATATTACTATTACGTTCACTTTACTTGCCTCTTTCTTATTGTGTTCGTCGACAGCAAAGCGAGCGAGGTTGTCGATCTCGACGCTATTTTGGGAGGCTTCGGAGTCGTGAATGCCGCCGAGGGTGGCCATTTTGTCGTCGGAGAAATGAAACGGGGTGGTTGTTGTTGTGACGGTAAACGGGCTTTGTATTTATAGATTTGAAAGGACGCGGTAGAGGGTGGAGATTTTGACGCGTGTCGATACGTTGTCATCTACAGGTCTCTAGGGATGCGTGGCGTTCGAATATATCTTCTGCGTAGCGAGTAAGTTAAGCTTTGCAGGGGACTAGTGGGGTCCATTTAGATATTTTTTCAAATAAAGAAAGTCAAAAGGGAGAAAGAGGGATGATGCTCCGTATGTACATTAATTACCTAGGCAGTCACTTTTTGCTGTGAAAAAACGCCTTTGAAATTTTTTAAGAAACAATTAATTTTTTTCTTTTAATTTTTTTTACTTATTTATATTAAAAATAAAATTTTTAAAAAATATTTTACAAAATAACTGATATTATAATAATAAATAATTTTTTAATAAAAAATAATGAATAAATTTACAATAAACAATCTTTTTTTTTAATTTAATAGTTTATTTTTTAAAAACTTTAATAGTTTAAGATGCATTTATAGTTTTTAATTAGGAAGGTACACGAATGCTAGTAAATCATTGAGTTATTTTATCAATATTTATTGAATATCATGCTAATGTTAATCAATTATTTTTTTTAAATAATATTTTAATTTTTAATTTTTTTATTTATCTTATTATTTTCATTATATTTAATTAAATTATTAAAAATTCAATCAAAACAGGTAGATTTTATGGAGTCAATTTTTTGATTCAACTTAAAATAATTTTATTAAAACTAATAAAAATATTATTTTAATACCAAATATTATCATCCTTTAGTAGATATATAACTTTTACCATCAAGATTATCTCAAAATTATGGTAGTAATTATTTTTTAAAGTATTTTTATTTTAAAATACATTAAAATAATTTTTTTTATTTTTTTAAAAAATAATTTTTAATATTAGCATATTAAAATAATATTAAAATATTAAAATATATTAATTTAAAAATACTTTCCATCCACAATGCGAATATACTAGGTGAAATTTGAATAGAAATAATTTAGCGATGATAGATGACACACATGGTGGGAGCGGGATTCAAGAGTTTGTTTTTATGGTTAAATGGTGTTTTTGAAATGTATTATTTTATTTTAAATGATTTTTTTTATATTTTTAAGTGTTTTGATATATTGATGTTAGTAATAAAATATGTATTATTTTAATATATTTTTAAATAAAAAATATTTTAAAAAATAAGGAAATAAATTACTTAGCACCCAAGGATATGCAATTAACGTGTGTTTGGTAACATCCTCGTAAGCCCATGTTCGTCTTCCCTACTCTCAAGGAAGAAGCAAAGAGAGAAGTTTCAGCGTTGCCATTCATTCCCTGCTCTCAAGGATCTGAAGGGCTGTTTCAATTTCTCTTAGTGTTGGTTGTCAAGACCATATTTATCAAATCCCGACAGCCATTACAAGTCAAATTGCAACTTAAGCCGGGTTACTGCGCTGGAAATTAACATATTCAAAATAATCAAGTCCAGATTATCTTATAAATTACCCTGTCAAACCCAGCAAACAAAAGCAATGTCAATTTCAAGGTTTTTTTTTTTATCGAAAACATCAATTTAATTTATATATTTTTTCTTTTTTAGTTGTTTTAGTAATAGTAATTGGGTTGATCCATCTAGCAACCATGGTCAAAATTGTAGACAACCCCATACAGTGGAGAGTCCCCATTCAACTCTGCAGTGTAAAAAAAAGAAAAAAAACTGATGACAAGATCTGCTTACAACCTGAAATTAAGAAAATAAAAGGTCTCTCCTCTGGAGGCATCAACTGCCTCTGTACGAAGGTTAGGAGCTGTGAAGATCTTATGCCGCAATACATATTTAACGATACCACCCTTAAGAAGGACAGAGCAATACTGAACCATTAGCATGCAAAACATTTATTCAACCAACCAACATGCTAAAAGCCTTATACAGTATTTTGTAAGCTTCAAGATACAACATAAACTCCCACTTTTGAGAGAGTAAAAAAACAAACGTTCAAAATCGGAGGGAAGAATACGAAGAACAAATGGGGAAGAAAACCATATGGCTCCATAGCAAATATAGGCTCAGAGTGCTTCAGAGACATGGGAGAAATAGCATGCCGCTTTGACAGCACTTGAACTATTTAAAACAGGGCGAAGAAAAAACAAGAGCCCACAAAACAGACTCATGTAACATCCTCTCCCCTCGTAGCTAATGACCGAAAAAAGGGAAATACAACAATTGGAGTTGTAACAAGGACAAGTATTCACAACATAACCTCCACATTTTTTCATCTTTCAGCTGTTTCTTCTCACGAACACTATCTGTTGTCCAGTTGTTGATTTAGGGTTGTTTGCCAACTGAGGATTGAGCCTTACCTGTGATTTGGTATCAAAATAAGAAAAGAATTTTAGATCAAAGATCATGTGCACAGCAATGAGAATATCAAAGCAAGAGAAACTATTATTCCCATCAAATATGTCTACAAACTAAATAACATTTCAAATCTAGGGAACTCGGTTAAAAAAGACTCGTCAAACAAACCGAATGCACGATTTTACACAACTTTTTGCTTGCTACAGAATCTTTAACATTTGGGAACCAAGTTACTACAGCCTTGATTATGGTGTCAACTGAACTACTGGTGTGCCACTGGATGGCCTAATCATCTATGTATCTAATAGATGGTAACCCAAGGTTAACATATTGGTATACCAAATTGAAACAGTGTGCTATCGATGACAACAAAAGGGTGAAGGAGAGTTTTTCTTTTATGAAATTGAAGAATAATTGCAGTTTAGCACAAACCTCATAACGTTGAAGCAATGAAGCAAACAAAGTGGCAACTCCATGGATAGCAAATTTCTGACCCACACAGGCCCGCATACCAGAACCAAAGGGAAGAAAAGCAGCATTATCATTTGGATCATTCAGAATGAATGAACACTGACTTGGATCCACAGCTTCTTCTGCAGCATATAGAACAGTTGGTGCCAAGGTATATTTAATATATCTGATGTTATTTAAAACACAACAACATTCCATGCCATGTTTGCAAATACTGCCTTGAACAATACTTGACCCAGGTGAAAGAATAGAGTCTGAGGGCCATTCTACTCCATTACTTTCTACTTACAAGTGTCACAGCTGAATGGCTCTACAAAGTGCAGTTGTCTCACATTTAATGAGCAGTTAAAAAGGTTTAGATGGCAAAATATGAAGGATGCTACAGTAAATTTTCTAATCCAAGCATGTCTCTTCTGTGAGCTAGACAGGAGCAGGTAAATCACCTAATCTCACCCATACACCTACGGGCACATGGCTCATCTATAACTAGTTAACTACAATTAACAAAAAAACTTCAGAAATCAATGAACATTGATTATCAAAGATATTACAGGAGTACTTGAAATGAGGTATATGGAACTCCTTTATATTGGGAGCAAATGTAATTGGAAATAGACAGAAGTGACACCTGTAAATGATGTATCCTGCACCAAATCAGAATCCTTTCTGGCTTTTGACAAAAATCGATATGGATTAAATTTGCTAGCATCACTGCCCCAACTAGAATCATCCATCTGCAGCAGCTGTGCAGGCACAACAAGTACTGCTCCAGCTGGTACGACTACACCGCTTTTAAAAATCAAATCTTGCAGTCAAAAGAAGGAAAGAGAGAGAATCAGTAACGATGTAAGACAAAAATCTTTCAAAAACCAGTATAGGGAAGAATGCCTAGGGAGTAGAAATCACTGCTGTATGGTAAATTAAGCTCTACATACACAGATAGGTTAAGAAGAAACTACAGCAATACAAGATCAATCAAATATTGGTTGAATTCAGCCACAACACTATCATCTCCAATGAAAGAATAAACATTATTAAGTCGTGTTGATAACATTGCAAGTGGAGTGATAAGAGCAACAACCACTATTTACTTTCCCTTTAATCCTTAGCCTGATATAAATGGTGTGTCAAATTACAGTCAATGCATGAAAATCTTTAGATAGACTTACTATAACTTGCTCACGTAATTTTTTAGCAAAAAAGGCTCCCCCCAAAACCCTATGCAGAAAACTTAAAAAATGAATTTCTGAATTCATGAATATAGATAAAAATGAGTAAAGGACCCACCACCCTTGCTTTAAAACATTTGGGTTAAAGCCTGCCTAGTTGATGTTGGAATGTATAGGCAGGACGAAGCAAAGGCCTTAAACAATTAGGTTTGAAACAGGCAGCTCATCATGATACTGCAAGCAAGCTAGAAATCTAAGAAAAAAAACAAAAACCTGCACTGGCAAACAAGAAGGCAATCTCTTACCATCTTTCAAAGAGCACCTCTGCAGCAACGGTCCTGCTGGCAGAAGACGGGCTGATTCATAAATAGTTGCCAATAACAAAAGCATCTTCTCAACATTTTGATCTTCTTTCACAGACCCCTGCTTTACCTTTATTATCTCAGAGTATATCTGTAAAATTTCAAAATTTGAATTACATGTATATTGTTGTATAGACCTCAAAGGGAATCACAGTCTACCCTTTAGGGGTGAAGAAGATGGAACAGTCAAACTATGAAAGCTTAACAATTTTCCATCAACCTATATTCAGTGCTACCAAAGATGTGCAGGATGCAGGAATCAAGCACATGTGCACTGCAGAAAGCATCCAACAGTAATGAGAAATCCTATTTAATTCAGATGAGTTCCCCTAGCCTTACATGAAATTTGAGAAAAAAGTCAATTCGAGAAAAAAAAAAGGCTAGGACTTCAAAAAATAGTGACCAAAGGCAGAGATCAAAGTCCCTGTAATTGGGTCTACTTTGCCCACCTTAATAAAAAAAGGTCCATACCTTATCCTGTATCTCCACATCTGTAACAAGCCTCTCCAGGATACTACCAATCAAACTTGCTGTGGCTATGCATCCATGAAGCATCACGCCCATAATGTTTCCACATGGTTCTTCTCTTTCATTAAGATGGCCATCAAGCTCTGGTGAGAATAATTTATCTTGCATCTCAACACCATTAGAAGGTGGCGCACCAGATGCAGCCTTTATTCCAACCTTTTCTATTCCAATGTGAGAGTTTTGATCCATATGGGAAAATAATCCATAATTTTTGCCACACTGTTGAACAATGTCAACAGTTAAGCATTTCAACTTTGTGCACAATGACTGGTACCTCCAAAATCCTCGTTTCCAGAAAGGCGTAACTCTATATGAAGCCCAAAAAGAAGCGTCTTTAGCAATCATCATCAGAAGCTCTTCATAAAAAGTTGCCTTGGACCAAGCCAGGAATGTATCCCCAAAAAGCGTGGTCCCCAAAATGGTAAAAGCCATATGCTGTGAAACTGATTTACAATCAACACTTCCTTTGCTCATAATAGCATCTACTCTTTCCATGATACAGTCCACAACATTTTTAGGGATTACATTTGCTCTTCCAAGCATTTTACCATTCAATTCCAATGCCAGTGATTCTCTTCTCTTTTGTGCCTGCAGATGGAAAGAAGTTGTGCATGGGAGCTATTGGAAACTAATATATGTAAATTGGTCACAAAGTTTTTTTTAAAAAAAAAAGAGGAAAAGAATAGTCTATGATTAGTATCTTCCAGTATTCATTGACGGCCATCTTGATTAACAATAAAGATGTTGAGTTGTTTCTCTTTTCTTTGTGCTCTTTTCAACCAGAATGAAAGAGACAGAACCTAGGGGCTCTTGCCTCTCCTAAGTGAACATGAGCCCCCTCACTGCAACTTTTTAATCCATATTCTCTCTAAGCCCCCACAAGACCCATCACACTTTCCCTAATTCCAAAAGCTACCAGTTTCTTAACATGTCATTTTCTGAACTATACAGTGCATGCCTTATCGTGTTGCATACAATGCAGTCACTAGCAACACATGAGTTGTTCCCTGCAAGATTTGAGTTTTTGTTTCTTTTGTTGTTGCCTATCAACATTTTGTATTGCAAGAGAAATCACTAGTAAAACTCAGCCTTTGCATGCATTCTTCAAAGTTCAGTAACCTTGCAAATCTTATGCCAATACTGAAACATAATTAAACTCAAGGGCAAGCAGCAAAGAAAAACTTATACCTGGTCATACGAACAGAAGAAGAGACTTGATCGTCCAAAGGCCAAACGAAATGCCTTCCCAATGAAAGGCAATTTATCTTCAGCCTTTAAAAGCATCTCTTTGATTAGGGTTGGATCTTTTATAGATACCAAAAGCTGAGTTGGTCCCAGCCACAACTTGAAAACTGATCCATATTTATCATGCGCCAACGATAAAAGATCTAACAGCCAAAAATATAAGAAAAAAATTCATTCTTTAAACAAATTATATCACTGAATCAAAGAATTGCAAGCTACCATAGCTTCGAAAAAAGCAAAAATCAATCTCAAATTCACTCATAGCAGGCACAAGGGAACATAAACTAGACATGGCTAACTCGTTCTCTCACGAATTAAAAGAAAGCCCAAACTTCCCTTCATTTCCTCACCAACCAGACAGAAACCAAAAGGCAAAATCAAACTTCAGTCAACACCATTACCCAGCAACTCACTAAACTTCAAATTTAAACCCACATAAACAAATAAGCAAAATTAAGATTTTCCTTCATTTTCTCATAAACCAAACAGAAACCAAAACACCGAAATCAAAAAACCACACTCACCGATGAAATTCTCGCGAGAACCGAGGTTCCCATGTCCGAAAAAGGAGTTGCAAGGCGGACCGGGGATCTGACTAGCTTTAGACCACAATCTAAAGAGCTTAAAAACCTTTTCAAGCGAGAAAACAGTAATCGTAATCAACGCAACCCATAGAATCGCATTGAGTTCCTTCTTCGCATACTCTTTGGTCGATTTCGAGGAAATGAAATCATTAACCGAGTTCAAAACAGAATTCATTTTCTCATCGAGAGAGAGAGAAAGAGAAAGAGAACGCTCGAGATTAGAGAAATTCTTTGACTTTTCTTTATTTTTTAATGGATTCTGGGAGTGACAGACTGCTTTACTTTCGAGTTATAATTATTGTTGTTTTCTTGGCGTCACTGTCTGCATTATTTTTGGGATTCTATGTTTTTCTTTTTTTATGTCAGCCGTTACATAAAGGACACGTGTATGTTATTAGCTGTGATGGAACTGTTCAATGGCGGGCGAGTCCCTGTCTTGATGTTCTGGCTAAGCTACATGACCGGTAGGTTTACTTAAAAAAATATATAAATCATTTTCTTTTTTAATATTAAGATTATGGTATATTATATTGATTCGGCTTTACAACTTAACTTAATTTGTAAAATTAAATCATAAATTATATTAAAATTTTTTAAATAAATTAAAATTATTTTGTATTTAATAATTTAATAATAAAAATATATTTGTAAAAATTAAATATTTAAGAGTATAGTATTTTTATAGAATTATCCCCTTTAAGTTAATACTAGGTTTAGAAATCGTCAAAAACCTCGTATGTGTTTGCCCCTTTGTTTTTCGTTGGCTTAGTACAATCCTTTGCCTGGCCTCCATGGTCGAAATCAAAGGTTAGAATGTCAGCAAAAGGTAAGAAAATGAATAAATGCATCACAGAACAAATACCGTAAAAACATAACTATGTTAAAAACTATTGATTAAATATTAAATGTCTATTTATATATATATGTGCTATTGGCTATTCTTTTTTCCTTATTTTTTTAGTCCACGTGATTAGATATTTATTTATTTATTTTTAAGAAATTAAATGATGTATCAAAACAGATAATATGTCGTTGGGTTATAAAATTTTTGAGATATTTTATAATTTAAATTAATTTTTATTATAAATGGGATGAGAATAATTTTATATCACCAAATGAGAATACTTGATTCGACTAAGTTCTAGTATATTTCATTGAGATTCTCAATATTAATTAGATTACAAATCAATCCTTTAAATCACTTAAATTTAATCAAGATAATATTAATATTAATTTAAATAAAACTCAATTCCATTCAAATTTTTATTTATAAATTTGTTAAATCAATATGCTGAACCAAATTAAATTCAATATTTGGTATCGAATTAGACATGCAAATAGTAGACATGGACTTCTAGGTTAAGTATAACAATAGATGTTTTTAATAACACATTAAAAAAATAAAAAAATTGGCTATAAAATAAAATAAATATACACTACAAATTATATTTAAAAAATAGTAAAGATATCAAGTCCGATGGTAGACCAAAGGAACCTTTCATCCACCCGCGTACCTGACTTGTATGAAATCGGATCGAGTCTCCATCGGATTTACATTGTCATCGGGTATTAATAAGTAGGGTAAATTTTTTAAAAAAGAAAAAAAAACAAAATAGAATTTGGCGCGAAACTAAATCCGAAAAGATCCGTACATCTGAATCAACAACACAAAAACAAGCAAATTCCCTGGGATCCTCTCTCCAAAATCCAGCAGCAAACCATAAAAGGCAAGAACAACGCAGGCACCCGTAACTCTCTCTCCGTTTCTGTATCGGTTTCTAGGGTTTCGAGTTTTTCCAAAGAATCGCGCCGTTCTTTTTCCAAAATGACAGCTATGCCCCCACCTCCTCCTACCGTCTCTCCTCCTTCCACCACCTGCGCCTCCCTCCTCCACGAATTGCAGGTTCATGACTTATTTCGCTTATTTTTGAGCTAGTGATTGAAAAAAAAAAAGATTTCTATTTTATTTTATTGTAAAAAATAATGGAATCACAGATTTTAGAAGTTTGTTTTTGTGTTTTTCTTCTCAGTTCTTTTATTTTACTGATTTCAATTGGTGGTTGGTAGTGTGAAACTCAAGTAATTGAATTTGAATTTTTTATTTTATTTTATTATAAAAAAATGGAATCGCTGATTTTAGAAGTTTGCTTTTGTGTTTTTCTCCTTAATTTATTTATTTTACTGATTTTCATTAGTGGTTGGTAGTGTGAAATTCAAGTAGTTGAGTTTTAATTGAGTGAAATGAAAGAGATCAAACACTAATTTTGGTGAAAAAGAAGAGTTAAGAATATGTTTTGATCCATCTTTTTTTCTTTTCTTTTTAGTTTTTGAGATTATTGCTTTGTTTTTTGATTAACTGTGTTTATGTTGGTATGTAGATAATTAGGGATGAAATTGGGGAGAGTGAAGTCGCAAACATGAGCTGCGCGCTACGGGGAGCTGTCCCCGCGTTTTCACGGGTTTGTGCGTTCTTACACTTGAAGTTATTGTTGCTGTGTACCTTACCTGAGAAAGAAAGAAGTGCTTTTCTTTTGTGGAATTTTGCTGATATGAGAATGCTGTTTTGATTATTTCTTGAAATGTTTTTTATATTGAAATATATTAAAATATTTATTTTTATTTTTTAAAAATTAATGTATCAAAACTATTTAAAATATAAAAAAATTTAATTTTTAATAAAAAAATTAATTTTTTTTTAAAAAGATAGGTATAACCACCTTCTAAATACTCATGATTATATTTCTTTAGTATCTGTTTCTATTCATGTTCCCTTGCGTATCCAATGTTTAATACAACATTTTGAGGCTAAATTAAATATCTCTTTTACAAAATATAATCTAAATTTATTGTAGAAAATTAAAAGAACATATATCAAAGTTAACATTAATTAAAAAAATAAAGTTGCTTTTACAAAAAGCGCATAAAAAAAATTCGGTTTCACTATTGAAGTTTCAAATTATGCATGTTTTGTCCCTATTGTTTCAGATTTTTTAATTGCAATTTATTTTTTTCATGTTTCATTTCTTAGATATCGAGGAAAAAAAAGAAATTATGGATAAATAATGATAAAAAAATAGTTAAAAAAAGTGATGAGAAAACAAGTGTTTAACTGTACACATTTAACCCATTAAAATAATTGAACTTGATATTTATAGATTTATCTTAAAAAAAGAATTAAATGAAGGTGAACACTTTAAATATACTGGAAAAAATAAATTAAAACTCATTAACTTGTTTTTTATTTAATTTGATTATAAATTTTTAACTGATTAAATAGTATTTTAAGCTTCAATTCTATGATATCTGCAAGGTGTATTTAGAAAAAAAAAGATGACACGTTTATTAAAATAATAAAAAAACAATAGAGTGTGCATCATCCGCTCTTTAAAATAAATAAATAAGCCAGAAGCTTGGGCCCGGGCCTTCCCTGAAAAGTTGAACAGAGATAAAATATTCATATGTATATTTATTTTTTATACATTACAGAGAAGATTATTTCTTGCTTCGGTCTTTTATCAACTCTTATTCAATTTACGAGTTCGTATATTTTTTAATCCATTTTATTAAAAAGGCATCATCTTTCTATTCTTTAATTAAAAAAAATTATGATACTACAAATTGAGTTCCTCATGCCATTGTCTTCTTCTTTCGCGTTAAAAATTAACTTGATATGCCACCTGCAATATAGCGTGGGTGTCCTTCATCCTATGTTTTAAAACTCTTACTAAATAGTAAACTGAACGTGTTCGATAAGCAGCAAATATCTGCTGTGAACCCTGTTTTGGATGAATTGAGGTTGAAGAAGCAAGAAAGGATTAAAGTTGTGCAGAAATGGCAGGCAATGATCGGTAAATGAATTCTGCTGATCCAGAAATTAATGAGCGTGACTCAACGTTGAAGAGATTGGAGGAACCAATGTCACACCTTAAGGAACCACATGATAATCAATGAAAAGTTTACCTGAAGGTCCTGCTGCTCTTCCTTTTCTAATTCTAGTTGCTGTTTTGGTAGCTTGAAAGTACAAAAGATGTTACTTGAAATGCTAAAAAGGTAGATAAAGCGCCTATAACCTATGTAGCTGGATGTATGATCACACCTCTTTTTGTCCGTATGGTGATATGCATAAATATGTGCCATGTAAATCATCTAAACTCATGTAGTTTGGAGATTGATGCCAAAGCTTGAAAATGGACTGGATTGAGGTTCTAAGTTCAAGAAATTGCGTATATGAGTTTACAGGTGTTGCTCCAATTCTGATGCTTGAGCATCAGTGCAATGCCTGTGGTCTACTAGCCATTGGATTTGAAATTAGTGGGTCTCCTTTTACTATTTATTTAATCCAATTACCCAAATAGCCAAAGGCTTTGTGCTGATGTTCAAAGCATCGACATCCTAGACTCTTCTGAGTTTACAGTGACTGGTTAGTGTTTGTAATCCTGGACTTGTACTTTAGGAGGACAGGTAGAAACCTTGAAGGTTATGAGTCAGAACACATAGAAACCTCTGTTTTTTTTTTTTTTTCTTGCATGGGATTCTAAAAGTCTAGAAAGTCATGAATATTCATTTTGCACGAAAAAGAACGTACCCTTTAGTGAATTCTTTGACAAATTTGTTTGCAGAACTTGTAAATTGGAGCTTCTTCATTAATGAATTATTTGGTTTGCTTTATATTTTTGTGAATGTCAACTTCTTTACTAGTCCTGAATCCTTGACAACCTAGACATGGTTTGTTTGTTTTTTTTTTTTTTTTTTTTGCACTGGCTTTGTCTTATTTTAGCTTCAATGTCTGGGAAGAAAACTGATAGGAGCAATGGGACCTCATGAACAGCCCAGTTGAGGAGAGAAAATAGGACCAAGTCACTACAGTAATCTCATCCTCAGTGGATGATGTATCTTGGTGCCTTGCTGCTGATGTCATTGAGCAGGTTGCTTTTTTCTTTTTGGTTCTTACTGCCTAAATTAAGAAATCTTATATTTCATTTAAGGTTAATCCCCATCATTTCGAAAAAAAAAAATGAATTCTTAGTTATATCATTGTCAGACTGAAGTTGAAGTTGAGAGATTAGATGTTCTCAAATCCGGCAAGATGAAGGAGTTGGTGTTTAAGAAGCAAAATGAGCTGGAGGAAGTCTACACAGGAGCTCATATGGATGTAGATAGTGATGCTGCAAGGCAGATTCTCATCAGCCTCAAAGAGTCTAGTTTCAACCAAAACTTCTCTTGTTTTCATTTGACTAACATGTGTCGCACGAAGTGTCACGAGAATTGTTTACCCTCATGCATGGATATATAT